GCCTCAGTAGGACGAGTGGTGGGGGGCTTCCTAACACAGAGCCTCAGGAGGACGAGTGGTGGGGGGCGTCCTAACACAGAGCCTCAGGAGGACGAGTGGTGGGGGGCGTCCTAACACAGAGCCTCAGGAGGACGAGTGGTGGGGGGCGTCCTAACAGAGCCTCAGGGAGGCCAACACCTGCTGCAGTGAACCTTCTCTGGCCTGGAGATACTGCATTTTTTTTTGAATAAGCTTTCAGCTGCAGCTGTATTTGTTACTGTAACTCTGAAGGAGGCTGGTAGTTTGCTGCCACCTGCAGGACTTTGATAAAACTTCAGTTAATTATATTTTATTTTATTTCTGTTCTGTCCAAAGCTAGCAACTGAAGGAACACATGTGAAGCTCTTTATGTCACTAATAATCTTTGAAGCACATTTTTCTGTTTAAGAGATTCACATGTGAGCGCARCAGTTTTTAGCTGAGATTTGTGCAGTTAGTCTAATGAATACTGACATTCCAAGAGAAAAGCAAAACATTGAAATAGTGCTAATAACAACACTGCCTTGTGTAGCTGATGTCTCWCAGGTGGGTTTTTATATTAACCTCAGTCTCATCCTGTTCTGTCTTCTTAAATAAAGATCCAAATGTTCTGTACAAACCATACATAAATATATTGATTTTTAAATATTCTGGATGTTATTATTATGGAAAATAAKATACTGATAGGCCCTCTGAGACAGCCTCATTTAGGTCCAATCTTTTCACTGGCACAGGTTCCAAWCCCACTGCTCACACCAAATTGTCAGGGCAAAAAGGGAGACAGGAAGAACTTGTTGATGTTAATCAAATTACTAAAAAAAATAGGTCAAGCTGAACATCTGAGGGATGAGACGGATCCAAGCGGCAGATTTTRTCTGCCCCAGATTGTATAACAATATGTTAAAACAAGCTTATTACTGGGGAAGAACAAAGTATCCGACTGAGCGATACATCTCAGAGGGTCCATCAGTACCGTACTTCTTTTTTTAATTYAACAAGGACAAACCCACTGACATCCCAGACCTCTTTTTTAAAGGWGGTCTGGACCTTAAGGCAGCCTAAACCTGCACGGTTTAAGGACTGTGAGAGGAAACCAGAGAAACATGAGGGAAGCACACAGACTCCACACAGAACGGTCCAACCAAGCAACAGGTCTAACCACTAAATCATTGTGTTATCTTATCAATTTTATATTCTATAATAAATACTATTAATAAAAATTAGATTAAACATGGCAGGTAATGAACAAGATAACAGTCACTAGTTTGCTTTTAATAATAAAAATTTCTCACATGTATTTGATTAGAACAGCTTTGTCCTCTGTCTCGTTACAGATTTCCTTATCTTTTTAAAAACATGAGGTTGTAGGTYTGAAAACTTCCTAGTTTTGTATGTAGGAATTCTGCTGTGCAACAATTTACAGCAACATATTGACTGAAGTCCATTTAGTGACTCATTAATGGCAACTTCATAACATTTATCAGCAACCTTATCATTTATAAGACGGCTCTATAGATGATTTTAAAACATGATTAAGACGTTCAAACATTTCATGTGGTAATTTTTTCTATTTTTTTATAATTTACAGCACTGTATTTTATTGTCTTTTATGCAGCATCTAAAGCAGGATTGCATTATCTTTAGATATGTCTAGTTTAACTGTTCCAGTTTCATTTAGCTCTTCACTGAACATGTCAACCCTTGAAAACAAAAAAAGCTTTTGTTTTAATGAATATTGAATTCAGTATTTATAGCCCTGTATAAATGTATAAATATGTAGTAACATGTTACACACATCTGATGGGAGGATGTGATGAACTGAAGAGGCAGAAGCAGAATAATGTATAACGTGTTTATAAGGCAGTGCAATATGAAGAAACAAAAACTGGGAATGTTTACAGTCATCTTGGTTCTGCTACTGTGTATTATTACCATTAAAACATTCGATTAAAATGTCACTGAATATAATAAAAAGGCTACAAACACCATTCTTTTCTCGTACCGACTATTTTTTGTTGTTGTTGTTCAAAAACTAGGTAATTTTTCTTCAAACGGCCTTTTTGAAGACTTGTTTGGCAACGATTCCTTCGACTCTCATCTCCTGCAGAGAAGAAATAAAAAAACAAAACAGGAAGCAGGAAGGGGTGTTAAAATCAAGAAGTTCGGTTCGTTAAAATAATGTGGGAGATGCTACACAAACTGTTTCCCCCTCCTCTTCCCCTCACCCTTTGACCTGGTAATCCATCTCTTTCTCCGTCCACTTTGCAGCACTCCCCCACTCATTAGCTCCTCACCCGCCTCACACAGTTCCCCTCCTTCCTTTGTGTGGCCTCTAAACATTTTGATCCTCGCTGGCATTTCTTTCTCAACTCTCTCCTGAGTTTAGCATCAACAACGGGTTGTTTTGTTCCCGCGGCGTCGAAGGTATTAGCAGAACAATGCTGAGTGTTTTAAAAGTTTCAGAAACACGTGATGGAGATTCTCAAAGCTTTATGTGTATTTATGGAAACTAACTCGCCTTATTTGCATGTTTCTCTCGTTTGGCATATCAGTTTTCCTTGTTGCCTCCCTTCCCCTTCTTTTTCCTCATCATCCTCACCAGATGCAGCTTGTCTCCTTCCAGCCAGTGAGTCCAGCCTCGTCCTCCTTTCTCTCCTCTCTGTACACAGACCAGCTTGTCTCCTTCCCAGCTCACTGTAGTCTGCAGGAAGCACACAAAATAAGGGGGCCTTGTGAATTTCTGCTTCACGCTGCTGTTTTGGAAACCTCATTGAGTTTCCCCAACGGGGGCGTTTCATTCATTCTCCTGAAATCGCTCTGAATAGATTCAAAGACTCGCTATGACACAAATCACAGCAGGATTCAGACACAGACACACAATGGAGAAAATAAAAACTATAACATTCAAAGTTATATTGACTTTCTACACTTRTCCAAACAGGTTCAGAGACAAACAGACACCTGACAGGTGCGGCCGTCCACAGGCCCCAGGTCTTCAGTGAACTCCTCTCCGATGATGAAGTCCATGATGAAGTTCTTGAAGGTGGTGATGGTGCGGATTTTCATGGCCCCTGTGGCCGGGTCATGGGTGATTTCTTTGGTGGGCTTCAGTAGGCACACAATCTTCCTCAAAGCAAAATTAATATCTGGAAGTTGATTCAGAAAAGACAGATTTTATTTAAAACATTTGGGAAGTTTTAATTAAAAAGCTTTGTCAGACTGAGTGTAGACACACAGTGCGAATGGGTGGGGGGTTCTGGGGGTCACACAGAGGACAAGATGGTGATTTTATCCCTTCAGTGTTCTGCTTGGGATAAAGATGATCATGGAATCAGCCTTTTATTTTAACATATTAGCCCAAAGCAACACATACATTGTCATCTAATGCATCAATATATGTAATGCGACACGACTGTTATACGGTTGGGGTTTTATTTATATTTATTGTGTAAAAGTATAAAAAAAGATTCCCACCTAAAGCTGCCAGATATGAGTCCATGTTGTCCTGCTCCACCATATGAAACGTCCCAGAGTAATTAGGTTTGGACATTGTCCTTCTTGTTGTTCTTCTTTCACACACAAAAAGAAATCTGCTTTTCTCTGAACCTTGATATCAGATTCTCTTGCGTAATTTCTGCAGCTTCTGAATGGGACAGACCTGTTTGTAAAATGATACTGTTCCCTCCTGTTTTCTTCTTGTGGGAGATTTAAGACGCCGTTTGGCTGAAAGGTGATGAAAAGTTAGTCTTGCAGCTTCTCTCCGTCCTCATAAAGTGTGCAAGAGTTTCCGGCCAGCTGTAAAATAACAGTTTGGTGAGTCTGCAGGACCGCGTGCAGGGGGCGGTTCCTTTTCTTTTCGGTCCCTCTGCCTGAAGGGGGTTGTGGTGCGTTCACGTTCCATCGAAAAGTGGAATTCCAAGCTAAAGGCTAAGTTTCGTTTCGCGTTTCTTTTTCAAATCTACTAATTTTCACAGTTCGGTTTACTTTATCTGTTAACAACACATTACGCATCTAAACACTGCTGTGTTAGGTTGTTTGTCATCGAACAGTAAAATGACATTGGTGCGAACAGACTCAATTTACGTTTACATTGAACACACCAACCAGACGCGCACAAGMAATCATTTACCTGTTTTTAATTATACAAACATGTGTAAAACTTTTTAAAATGTTCCATAATCGTTTTTTATTACAATTACGCACACATTTCAACTTACAATGTGGCTGGATTCTCGCGAGATTACACAAAAGTACTAAAAGTAAACCTCAGCAAAAAACTAAAAGTAACAAAAGGCTAAAGGTATCAAAAGGATAGCTAAAAGCTAGAATATAAAAACGGCTAGATACATGTAGCTAAAAGCTGTCTTAAAGCTTAAAACAGAATGGTAACTTAAAGGGCTAGCTAAACGCTTAGAATATCAGAACTATAGCTAATTTAAAAAAAAAAATCAAAGACAACCTAATTTTATTTATTTATTATTTATCCTGCAAAACAAACTGCATCTTATGGTAACCAGCTAGCAAACAAGCTAGCTAGTTCTGTTAAAGTTATAGACAGATCTGACACAATGCAGAAACATTTCATCCATTCCAGTTTTATTTTCAACAAACACATACAGCAGGAATTGTTTTTGAATAATTAAATGACAATTTCCATCATTTTTAACATTAATTTTTTGCAGGCTCCCCACCAAAAGACCTCATTAAAAAACTGCCTTCATAAATATGACATAATAAAACATCTGTGTCTTCTATCTTTTCCTCACTGAGCCAGGTTTCTTCTCAGTCTTTGATTTCTTCATGTCTTTCTTTCCTTTTGTCAGATTCTCGTAAACGTCGTCCTTGTTCCTGCAAAGTGGGAAATGGCAGATTAGAGATTTTCTGAAATTAAATAATTATAATTTTGCACATCAGTGCAGATTGATGAGCCACGTATCTGAATTGAGTTGGGACAAATAGAAGGAGCTTCTGCATGAGAGAAAAAAAAGGAAAAAGCAGACAAACCACCCAGGAATCAATCAAAGCTGCAGGCACAGCAGGGACAGATTACAAAAGTGTTTCATGTTTGACTGGTTAGATTCTCTCTCATGTTTATAGTTACATAATCTGAACATTGTTTGCTTTAATTTATGGAAAATTAAACTGCAAAGAATGATGTCTTCAGTGTAAACACAGCATCATCATTATTATTATTTTATTTACCATTATTTAACCAGGAAAGTCCAGTCGAGATCTCTGATCTCTTTTTCAAGGGAGGCCTGTGCCTGCCTATTGTACATGTTTTTGGGAGGGGTCTGAGTACATACCAGTCAGATGTAGTAGTGATTCTGTGTGGAAGTTTACAATTTGAATTATTTTGATTTTTTTATGTTTGTGTTGTTTTTGATGCTCATTAATAAGCTCCACTGTGTCCCACTGTCGGTTTTGTAGCACAGATGCTGCAGAGTACGGGGGTGGGGACTTTAGTTATAATTTAAACAAACGTTTGTGTAATTAACCCTGGAGGTCTATTGATTAAAACCACATATTGTAACATCACACTCATGATTTGACTTCCATACTATCACTACAAAATAACAATTCCATCAAAAATGTTCTCCTCTTCTAACGTGAAGTTAGCATTTATTGTTAATATAGTTTTATAAACTTAGCACAAAAAAAGTAAGGAAATTTGTGTTTGGTAGATCACTTCTTTGCTGTAACAATGCTCATTGTCAACAAATCTTATACGGTTGGAAAACCTGTTAATTTCCCTTTTAAATGGTGCCACATTTGTAAGGAACATGCATTCATGAGATGAGGAGTAGAGCTGAGTATGTGGGCTGTGCACATGAAAAAAATTGCCTAATCTTCTCTGCCAAACAGCTTATTTGACTGTTGCTATTGGTATTTGTTTTGAGCTTCTGGTACCTCCAGGTGCTGCCAGGTGTCAGGGCACGGCTTGACTGAACGGAGGGGAGGTGGAGGGGRGGATGCTCAGACGTTGTTAGCATAATGGTCTGGACAGGATTTTGATGGAGATTTATTCTTAATCAACAAACCTTTATTTTTTTCCCTCTCGGATCATGTTTAAAAACCCACTTTGCATAGAAATACTTTTTAAAGTTTTATTGAAGCAATGTTGAATATTTTCACAAAGTTAAAAAAACATTACACTTGAATAATTACTG